CCGAAGAGCTCACCTTGGAATGTTATGAGGGAATGGTCCGAAGACCCAAATATTACCGAGGCCAGGTTACTGCAACCCCCGGATGCCCCAGCTTCCCTTTATCGCAATGGACACTCCTCCTCGAAGGGAGAGTGCCTGACCTCGAAAAAGTGTTATCAGGGCATTACTCCACATCTATCGATCCCAAGCAAACCCAAACTCTCGGCAAAGGATTTGAAATCACCCTTTCCCAGCCAACCGCTACTCATAAGGTCAGAACATATGGCGACTGGAGTATCGCGACAGACCTCTGGATTGAGGCCCTCTCCTTCATCATGCCTGTTACATCTCCGGCTTCTTCGTCGATGTCCATTACGCCCTCCATTCACGAATTCTCGACTTCGACAAGGCATGTCGACTCAAAATTGAAGGCCAAAAATACATTCGCTTTGATGCCATCTCAAAGTTCTGGACTCGAAGTCTCACATCTATCCTCGCTCGGAATGGTCGCCTACGCAGAGTTGCATCAGCTCAGCTCTTCCGGCAGGGATAAGTTTAATGCCAAAGGAGCAGGAGGTGGTAAGAAAGGACGAAGTGAAACTTCTGGCCGAGGGGAGGCGTGCTACAACTGGAACCGAGGAATCTGTGATAAGTCCGCTTCCGACTGTTCCAGGTTCCATGTCTGCAGCAAGTGTCGCGCAGGACATAAACGAGCCGACTGTCCATTGGCGAAGGAAACTAAATGAGACCATAGCAGGGTCAAAGGTTTAGGAGAAGGATGGTATGGGGGAACGAAGCAAAGTCCCTCAGTGGAACGGCTATTTGGACTGAGACTGCTGAGCCTCTCCCGCATCCTCCTCCATCTGAATACGATAATCTCACAGCGCTTTCTACTATTGAGAAGTACCCTCATCTTTTCAAGGTCTCTACTCCCATAAATGTCGACAGATTCGAAACCCTTCTTACCCTCGCCCATCATCCTAATCTCCCATTTGTTCGCTCAGTATGCCAAGGCCTTCGTGAAGGATTCTGGCCCTGGGCGGATACTCATGCTGGAGTATATCCCACTACGTGGGAGATCCCATCTCCAACTCCGTCAACCATCGCCCAATGCGACTTCATTCGGAGTCAGATTTCAAAGGAGGAGTCCGTTGGAAGGTACTCACCTAATTTCGGTCCCCAACTTCTGCCTGGCATGTATAGCATGCCCATTCATGCGGTTCCTAAAGAAGGTGGCAAGTATCGCCTTGTCACTAATCATAGTGCCGGGGATTTCTCCCTTAACTCCATGATTACTAAGGACGACATTGCTGGGGTGACCTTGGACAATGTCCAGGACCTCGGTGATGCAATCCGAGAATTTCGACATCATCATCCACTCGAGAAACTAATAGTTTGGAAGGCTGACGTCTCTGAGGCGTATCGCCACATGCCTATGCATCCTCTCTCGGCAAATCAAACAAGTTGTTACCTTCGAAGGAGAAAGACGTGTTGATAGAGCTAATGTGTTTGGAGGACGAGCTTCGCAGCGTATCTTTCACGCCTTCATGTCCCTCGTCATCTGGCTTGCGGTATTCGTCCGGCTCATTCAAGCGTTTATATACGTCGATGATTCTTTCTCTTTCGCCAGGGCCAGTGATATGTCTTACTATGTGAAGTATCGTAAGATGCTTCCTACCCCCATGGTTTCCCTTCTCCTCTTGTGGGATGAACTGGGCATCCCGCATGAAGAACGGAAACAGGTATATGGTTCACCACTACCGGTCATAGGCTTTGAGGTGGATCCTAACTTGATGAAGATATCTCTCAAGGACGAATCGAAGAAAAGGGACTAGTTTTGAGAACTCAAGTCTTTCGCCAGGTATAGTTCAGAGGAGGTCGTTATGAGAGTTTGAGCATATCGCGGGCACTCTTAACTGGGCTCTTAACGTATGTCCCTCTTCTTCGCCCTGGTCTTTCGGCAGTCTACGCCAAGACTAAGGGTAAGACCAATGGCAAAAGGAATGATTTGGATCAATCATGCTGTCGTCGAAGAGCTTCAGTGGGCAGCTTTTCATCTTAATCGATCTGACGGCATCTACCTTTTCAAATCCGTTTCTTGGCAGTCTTCCCTCCTCAATCGGATATCCTTGAAGTCTACTGTGATGCGTCGGGGTCGGGTATGGGTTTCTGGTATCCATCTCTCAACCTCGCATTTCAGTCTAACCTGCCGGAACATCCTCCCGTGGCAGATATCTTTTTCTCTGAAGCACTTTGCGTAGCTTCTGGTATACACGATGGCGTCACTCGGTTGCCGGTCAATGGAAAACTGGCAGTATATACTGACAGTTTGAATACCGTTTATATGTTCAACACCTTATCCACCGGACCCGGGTATAATCGTCTTCTTATGGATGTTGTCGAAACCATCCTTGCCTTCGACATCGACTTTCGTGTGTTTCATATTGCGGGAGAGGAGTATGTAGTGGCAGATCATCTATCACGTTGGCGACACGTGATGCTGTCTCTTGTTCACCAGGGCTTCGGATTGTTCCATTTCAACCCCTCGGAATTGCACTGGGGGCGGGTAAAAAATTGATTCCTACAGCAGGTTGAGGCTTGGCAGCCTCCTCGTGCTGCCTGGCCTATGGAGCGTCTAATTCATGAGCGCTCCATCAACCTTGGACTTGCCCTTGACAAAACAACTAATCAGACTTATTCATTGGCCGTCAACTCTTATGTGACTTTCTGTGAGATCCATCATCTTGCTCTTGACCCTACGCCAGACACACTCTCCCTTTTCGTCACTTTTATGTCGGCGCACATTAATCCCCGATCCGTCGACAACTATCTCTCGGGAATATGTAGCATCCTCGAGGAGTACTATCCCACTGTGCGCCAAAATCGACGCTCTCGCTTAGTGTCACGCACACTTAAAGGTGCAAAACGTCGGTTTGGGGTTCCCATTTGCCGCAAGCTTCCTTTGTCTAGGGCTGACCTAGAAACTACCTCTGCCCGCCTTGCCAATCCCCCATCTCACGATGACTTGTTGTTCATAGCCCAACTTTTCGACGGGTTTTATGGGCTGCTCCGTCTGGGAGAACTTGTCTGGCCTGATAATCCGTCCTTATGGGCTTTCGAAAAACTCACTCTCCGGACATCGGTAATCCTTGCTGAATCTCATCATTCCTTCGTTCTTTGGCGTCACAAGGCAGACACCAATTTTGAAGGAAGTACTATTGTGGTCCAGCGGGCTCAAACATCAGCAAAACCCAGGGTCCTCTGTACAACCCTGGACAGTGCTGGACAGAGCCACAGAGCCCACAGAGAGGGTTCTCTCTGTGCAGCTCTGTACAGAGTCGTACAGTGTAATGTATGATACTGTACAGAGCTGCACAGAGCGGTACAGAGTGTTAGCTACACTGAGCAAAACAATACAGAGCATTGGGTAGGCCAGACAGGAATACTGCAGAATGCTCACAGCATCACTACAGAAAGTGCACAGTAATTGAAACCAAACAAATCATGATGTCATTGCGTCATACTACAATCAGGTATCCTACAAAAATGCTAAAAACACGATCAGTCCAGTGGAGTTTCAAGCCCCAGTCATGGCGCCTGTTTGGATCATCGCGAGTCAGGATTCTGCATAGCCGTCAGAAAATGATACAAATGATAAAAAAAAGCTTCACAATACCCTGCAGTACGAGCCCATTTCTTTCTGGCGGCCCAGCATTTCTTTGCATGATAGTGGTCCTTCTGCACATCATGGTAGAGCTGAATGACGCTGTCGTAGATGGGTTGATATAAATCGGTGACGAATTTCATTTGCTTGTAAGTACCGGTCTTGTACTCGTCGATAGCGGCAGCAAGCTAGTTAGAGATGAATGAGCGAAGACGATTATCCGAGCCTGAGATCACATACCGCAGTCGCTGCAAGTGCAACGGCACCTTCGGGGACAGCATCGGCGAACAAGTCTGGAAATGACTTCGCGAGCGTGTTCTCACCCTTGTAAAAATAGGACATACAAAAGCTGCCCAGGCCTCGTTTGCAAGATTATTGGTCCTGCCCTAATACACACCGCGTGAGTCAGTAAGTGCGGGGCTATTTCTCATTAACCTGCCTGTGCATCTACTCCATCCCGTAGGAAAGCACCATTCTGCAACAATGTTTTGATGTTGTCACGCACCTCCCCGCTCATAGTCGTTCTCGTCGTCAACATCGGGTGGAAGAATTTCGTAATGTGCCAGAACAATCGGACGCGCAGCCTTTTCATTTCGGAACGCATAGTAGCGCGATCGTCCCATAGCTAAAATAATTGTTAGCGTGATCCGACAGAGTAAGAACACAAATACCAGGACTGCCATATCAGATTTATATTCATCCCAGTATCCGTCGTCAACACCAACACCCTGGGATCCAAAGTCTTCGAGTGTTTCTAAGAGATATTCAATACCCTTGGTTTTGAGAAAATCACTGCACTTTGACGCTGTGCTAGTGAGCAAGCCTAGGCGTGATTTCTTCTTTGCGGCCTCTAGTAAATCCTTCCAAGAAGGAGGATAGAAGCGAATGTTCTGCGCAGTTGCTTTGATCATCCGCGTTCTCTTGCGTGGTACTACAACCTCCTCTTCAGAAGAAGATTGAGCTGAATCTTGAGTAGTAGCGCGACGACGCAAAGTCTCGAGCTCATCCAGGTCAGGCATGCGAGGGCGACAGTTCTTTGCGCGATGGTCTTGGAGGACATCTCGGGCATTGTGTGAGCTGTCGGCGACTCGTGAGCGTGCACGAGTGAATTCATCTGCATAAGGCAAGTGGGCAAGTTCAGTAGCATGATGGACACATGCATGGGATATCTTACCATCGTTGCTATCTTTCGAGGGTGTCATGATCCTGGTGGGGGTCGTCAACAAAACTGTCACCATCATCCTGGTCTACACCCAGATTGGTCTTGTCCGAGGAGAGGACTACACCAAGGAGGGATGCACCTTCAGGTAGGTCTTTCTGTGGTCTTGTTAGTTATACAGAACGAGGAATCAAGACACGAGACCTTACCTGAAGGTTCCAAGCATGATCGCCTGTCATGAAACCATGATAAACTCGAACCGCACGTTCGGCAGACTCGTAAACCTTGCATGGGATGAAATCAAAGCTGGCGGCCAACAGTGGGTGACTGAGAAGTGACTGCAAGCACTCGATTGCGTCCCGATAAAATATTTGAAGGGTTTTTGTCGTTGGAAACTCGGTAGTGATTTTTTGATACTTCCATTGAGGGGGAGCTGGGAGCAATTCAACACGTCCTCGGAGTTCTCGCGAAGAGCGAAATGACAACGGGAGTGTTTTGGTCTGAACATAAGTTTAGACGAAGAAATTTAGAGGATAGATGAACTCACAAATTCAAGATTGAGGTACTCGTTGATTTCGGCCATGCTAAGATCGGACCGAAGAATATACGATGCCATCTCCCAGTCCGGTTTGCTAGCGAAAGGAAAGTATTGGTTTTGCTCCCTCTCTGCAGCATATTCATCCTCGTTGAATTGGTCCATGAAAGTCTTCCCAACACCCCACGTCTTGCCTGCACCGTCATAAAACTCCACTTCTTCACCGTAATCTGCCTGCGAGCCTGAAGACCCATACTCCGCTCCAGTGTCTGCATCAACTCCATGGTCCATATACTCCGGGTCAAAGGTCGGGTCCGTGTCGTTGTGGAGAGGAAATTGAGGACTTGGAGCTTGTGCTGGTCTTAAGATGCGAACTAGGTTACCATCCCACTTGTAACAGTGAGAAGAAGGCTGATTCAGGTGTTGCAGAAAGCGTCCCTCATTCTTAAAACGCTTGCTGCAGGAGGGGCAGCGCATATCGAAGGTGCGAAGTAAGTCATTGAACTCATTTGGATTCAATATTGTCCCGGCAATTTCCGGGACGACGCAAACTGTAACTACAATGTCGAAGTGTCGTTCAAGCTATGCCTCACCATCTCAATCATCTCAATCCCCGTATTCGCTATGTCGAGGCCAACAAATCTCAGATTCTGTAACTCCTTCCGACATCTCAGATGATACATCTGACTCCTCGGAAGTGTATAATATGGTGAGTTATGGGCTGGATTCTAACACTTGCCTTGAATCAGTTTTATCTACAGTACATACGCCGCTACCCAAATGAACCATTTGACGCTTACATGGACTCAATGCCGGAGACTTCAGAGGAAGCATCTTACCTGCTCGAGATGGCACGAGCTGATCTCGAAGTTCGACGTCTCGAGAAGGACCTTGCTGAGCGGCTTCTTCATCAATTTCGCATGCGCAAACACCACCTACGACTTCGAGCGAAGAGGGCAAAGAGAAATTTTGGAGATGCGGAAGCTAATGTAGGGCGCACACGCGCTCTCGTGGTGAGGTGCGGGTTTGTCTGCTCAGAGCGGTCACTTTGGTCTCCTCGTCCAAAATCCACCATCAAGTCATGTAAGCGAATTCGTTCTTAAAATCGGTATGCAGTCGCTGATGAGTACAGCTGATTAGAATATCTGTCTGTTGGATGTTGCATTGTGACCATAGCCTTGTACTGTGTACATGATTGTCAATACATATACGCATTGCACATTTTATATTTTAGCTATCTGTTGAAGTACTTTATTAAATGAATATAAGTTGTCACGCTGTGAAATGCATTCTCCGAGATCTCGTGTTTTGATGAAGACCAGCAAGATATTGATATTAATCTATAATTTACATCACATTTTATCGCCTGACCCTGTGCACTGTGCGAGACTGTGCCGCACTGTCACTCTGTGCGCTCTGTGCGCTGTACCACTGTGGGGCTGTGCTAGTTGTGTCGCTGTGGGAATCTTGTATCCAAAACCGGTAGTTTGCTGATGAGCCACGTTGGACTCTGTACATGCCAGACCACAATGCAACTCAGGGTCGAGTCTGCGGCCTCGCCGTTCAGATACTGCTCTGGTGAGTATTTCTGGGAATCCAGATGTTGTTAGTATAGAAGGTACGTTTCGCCACCACTATTTGCTAAGGATGGAGTCACTCACAGTCGTCTGAATCTAGGAGTCCGCGTTGGGCAAGTGCGAGTCATTTTCTCGTTACCCTCAAAATCAGTTCCACTCCTGTTTTCGCCAACAGTCAAGGTTCCCACTCACTTCGCTTACATCGAATGGTTTGAACCATTCACTTCGGCTCCCGATCGACATCACGGACTTTACAAGCTCTCGCGATCATTGCGCGGTGGTGAAAAAGTAGCAAGTATCGTGCCATTGGCCAATATTGTGCGTAGTGTCCATCTGATGCCGAATTTTGGAGCTGTTGTCCCGCGAGAGTGGACGAGTGATACGGTTCTCGATAATTGTAATACTTTTTGGTTGAATTCATACATAGATAGATATACTTTTTCTTTATTCAAATGATTATCGAGAATCTCATTGTGCTTTATCGTCTTTCAGCTAGTTTTATCTTAATACTTGTAATTACATAGAATTCTCTGAATTACATCGTTTTATCAAAATTATGTGTTTTTTCCTCCGGGAGGTTTTTCCTGATGATGTGTCCGAGCGATTTTGATATTTCAACATTAACTGGTTCGTTCATGACTCTGACAGCACTCAAACCTAAATTTAATTGTTCGCACTTGCTAAGCCTCACAAGAGCGGATTTAGCCAACAATGAGCTCGATAGATTCGAGCGCAAGTCGCAAGAAGCTGGCCGACTGATATTTTGGACGGCGTTTTCAGGTGATATTAGCCTCCTTCCGGTTTCATCATAAACATAGTGTCAACACAGGTATTATACCAACTGGCCTGACTCAATAAGAGACTATGTGGCTCGGAGAGTGCATGATGACACTGCATTTGACATCAGAAATCAGAAGGTGTAGCCTCTCGATATAGTAGTAGCTAGAAATATTTTTGCCATTAGTAGAAATGTAGTCAAAAAGAGTGGAACTCTGCCCACAATACTTTGTTGGCCGTTCTGCCATTTTGCCAATTGTCACAAGACCAATTCCATTCCGCCCCCTACACTGTATACCTCACAAATGGCCGAATGTTGTAGTTATGGTGGTTGCCATTACGATGCTTTGGCTAGCAGCTAGATGGGCCCGGGCCGGGATGGGTGAGATTTGTGCGAGGACCGGCTTCACCCAACATACTCGGTCATATCAACGATCAGCGAATCGCCTCATTGTCCTGCGGTGTCTGCCTAGTATCATTTGCAAACTACCATAAACATGTCCCAAAATCAAATCCGTACCGCGAACACCCTCGAACACTGCGTACGAAAATATGGCCACGCGGCAGACTTCCCAGCCCCCCGACAGAAGTAACCCTAAGTGAACCGTATGCTCCCTTTTGACAACTTCACAGGAAATTACAAGGGAAGTTTGCCATACTAAGCCAGCTAGCGTCATGCCGAGGTGGTGATGGAAATCCGAGTCCGCACTCGCGATTGGTATTACAAGTGCAGACTACTCAAGGTGAGTTTCCCTCCCATCCATATTTCTTCTACTTATATGTCTAAGTTTTCGGAGGCTTTGGTTTTTCGAATCTGGAAGAAGGAAGCTACGGGCCAGGTGAGCGTTTTCTCTATGAAGCCCCGTCCGTGCACAATTAAAGGGCACCGTAGGGTGGTTTATTGTCAGGAGTAGATCCCACAGCGTTCACCACCTCCGATCCATTGAGGCTATGGATAATTCAGATGGGTAAGCATCCTCTGTTTCAAGTGCGTTGGCAGTATCAATTTAAATCGATTACAGGTATGATTGTTATGATGGGGCAATTGCTGTCACTGGGTTTAGGCAAGATCAGACAACCGAAAGTCGTTGCTGAAGTACTTGCTGGAATTTTTCTCGGTCAGGTCATTTTTACATCGTACTGATAGATGCTCATTCAATCGTAGGCCCTACTGCAATGGGACGAATCCCCGGTTTCACCGAGCACATCTTCCCCACTCGATCCCTCCCATATCTCTCCCTAGTTGCCAACATTGGCATCTGCCTCTTTCTCTTCATAGTCGGTCTTAAAATTGACGTAAATGTCATCACGCATAATGCTCGTTCATCTCTGTTCATTGCACTCTCCACTATGATCTTGTCCTTTGGTCTCGGTGCTGCCATCTCTGTGCCACTCTACCATAATTTCATTGGTTCCCCTGTCGAGTTTACGTACTTCATGCTTTTCACTGGCGTGTCATTTTCTATCACATCTTTCCCCGTTCTTTGTCGTATCCTCACCGCACTGAAGCTCCTAGACACGACGGTCGGCGTCGTTGTCCTGTCAGCTGGCGTGTGCAACGACGTAGTCTGTTGGAGTCTGTTGGCACTGTCCGTGGCTCTCACCAATGGGACCTATGGGCTTACAGCTCTATGGATCCTGCTGACATGCGTGGCATTCACAGTATTTCTCATGTGGCCGGTTAGAATTGCGCTGCTGTGGTTCGCTAGGTTCACGGGAAGTTTGGAGGACGGCCCCACGATATTCTTCATGATTGTTACCGTAATCGTGCTTTGGGCATGTGCGTTTTTCACGGATGTTGTGGGGATCAGTGCAGTTTTTGGTGAGCGATTTGGGTTGCTATTCCGAGGCCATTCTTATTTCATATTTAGGTGCGTTCCTGGCGGGTGTCATTGTTCCCCGCGAAGGAGCCCTTGCCACCTCGCTGACGAAGAAGCTTGAAGATATGGTGATAATCGTGTTTTTGCCTCTGGTATGGGTGCTGGTTTTGCTGCGGTCAATATGGCTCACCACTTAACAGTACTTCACGCTCTCCGGATTGAGTACCGATCTTGGATTGCTTAACAATGGTTTGTCCTGCCAATAGTGACCTACATTGATCATCTATCGACGCTTTTGACAGGTATCACTTGGAGATTCACCATCGCAATCATATGTCTAGACTTTGTTGGAAAATTCAGTGCCTGTACGATCACCACTCGGGTTTCTGGAATGAGTTGGCGAGAGTCGAGCACCGTTGGATCGTTGATGTGTTGCAAAGGGTCAGCTGTCTGATTTCCTCCAGAATATTTCGTCCTGACAATCTCTTTTAGTCCTGTGGAATTGATCATTCTCAACATTGGACTTTCTACCGGCATTCTCACCCAAAGGGTGTTCTCTATGTTTGTCCTCGAAGCTCTAGTCCTGACTTTCATAACCACACCCTTGGTCTCCATCCTTTATCCTCCTGAACGCCGGGTTCGTGCGCTAGCTAGAGATGTTTCACGTTAGTCAACTGGAGACAGGGACGAAGATATAGGCGACCGCCAGTCTCCTATGACTGAACCATGGCGCTCCCGCTTCACTGTTGTCCTTGATAAATTCGACCACATGTCGGGAATGCTGGTAGCCACCCAACTGGTACTGCCGTCGCCCTTGATCCCAACTTCTCAAGGACCTGATATATGCGTGAACGCTCTTCGTTTGATCGAGATGTCGGACAGTAGTTTGGACATCATGAAGTCTTCAGCAGTGGACACCCTCATCCACAGTGACCTAGTTCTGGGCATCTTCCGCACCTTTGGAGAGCTCAATGATATACACGTTTCGCTTTCGCTTGCTGTTGTCCCGTATGAGGACGTATCAAAAACTATCTCCGATCATGCGACACGACACGGATCTGAGCTCATCCTCTTACAATGGCTCCCGCCGTCGTTCATTTCCAGAGATACGACTGAAGACTCGTGTAGCCCACACAGCACGAGGATCGAACCAAATTTATTCGAAACATTCTCCAGCGGCCCAACAGATACGGGCAATCTGACAGCCACGATTCACTCGCAGTTCGTGCGCAGAACATTAACTGAGAGCAATACAGATGTTGCCCTGTTCATCGATCCGGGCACTTCTCTCTCTGGTACCGGTCCTGAGAGTGCGCGCCACATATTTTTCCCCTTCTTTGGTGGTCCGGATGATCGACTAGCGCTTGAGTTTGTGATGCAGCTTTGTATTAATCCACGAATTAGTGCAACAGTAGTACGAATGTCGAAAAGCGGCACTGAGCGTGTTGCAGTTCAATGGCCGCCGATCGTACGCCCAGAGGAAGAAGACAGCGATGAAACGCGGGAAACAGGATACCACGGGATGCCTATTCAATCAGTACGTTGACTGCACGCGCTTCTCGTCATGTTTCTGATGCCATTCTTGTAGACTGTCGTTATGCCAAACATATCGTACGGACAAACACGCTTCGAATCTGAGGCAGCCGATACCATCCTCTGGGAGCAATACGTTGACTCGCATTTCTCGTATGACATACATCCCTCAATCCGCGTTGCCCTGTCCCGTATCACATTCTCTGAGCATTCGTCGTCGATGCCGCTGTATTCCGCCATCCAGCAGGCATCTACGCGTAAACCTGTGTTGGTTGTTGTTGGGCGCTCACACCGTCTTCGATCGGACGATCTCACGCAAGAGCTGGAAAACATACTGAAGGAGCGGGGTAGTGTGGGGCAGGATGATAGTAGGAACACTATAGGGAATGCTGCAACTGCCTTTGTTGCTTCTGGTTGTGCGACTGCAGTGGTTGTGCTGCAGGCTGCCAATGTTAGCACTGACTGAAATAGCGGGGACATCTAACTGTTGCGTAGGTTTGAGACATTTTGTACTATATATCAATACTTGTATATATATCGCAGTAACGCCACCTAGATGTGTGTGTAATGTTGATCAAGGGCTCTCGTCATTTTCCATCAGATGTGTCAATCAGTCCAGTTCCCACTTGCTCAAACACTCTCATCAGCGCTCGGAAATTAATATCGTTTATGATATTCCAAGGCTGTATGAATATTCTACTCCATTTAAGTAGACTCTACACAAGAATTACAGAATGAAATCCCCTCGCGTGCGTTTTTCTCAAGGGCCGTCCTTGTTTTATCCTGGTGGGATAATCTCTTGACCAGACTATGCAATTGGAAAAGAAAATAGAAGTTGTTCCTTTGTATTGAAATGGGAAGGCGTAACAACCTCGATGAATGCACGTGAGACAATCACTATCTCTAGATACGAACCTATCTTTGTTATCATTAGCGAGGACTCTGGATATGTTTGCGGGTGGCGAAGCCCCGAACTGAAAACACTGAGGCCCAATCAAATTTGAAACAAATGGCTGGGCTACTGTGGGCGCAGGGTGGATCATTGTCTCGGCGAGCTTCGTCCTAGCTGCAGCTTCTCGCCCAGAGTCCCTGAGCATCTCAATCCATGCTGCGAGGCCAGTGAGTGGCAACGTCGAGAAAATCCTTGCGGAAGTTCCACCTTCAGTTTGTCTTCCGTGCACCACTTTTGTTCACTGACGGTTATTGGAGTACATCTACTCTTTGATTTGTAAAAAATATGGTAGGAGCAAAAAAGTAACACTTAACGAACAGTGCTTCACGCTCACCGAGTTAAATACCAACCTGGGATTACATACGAGGACATGCCGAACGACATTGATCTGAGCTCGTCCTGATATTTTAATATTGAGCGCCAAGTTGAAGCGACTTGGTTTCTTGCGAGACCTTCTGCATAATTCCAGCTTTGCGCGAGCGCTGGTGGGCAGGAAGTGTCAATGCAACATGATGTTAGGTTGCCCGGATCTGTTTCTCCCTTTTAAATACACTTCGGATATCCAAGCAGATTTCTCAAAATGCCTTCAGAATACACGCACATACGTTTCCCGTGCTATACACCACCGCCAGTCGGCACGTCTACGCACTCCTGGAAGACGATTGTACTAGTTATGCTAGCTCCTTCGTCAAAATCCGCTACGAGCTCAGCATTATATTGTTCTCGAACGCTAAGGATGAGGCGTGGTCCCAGCACACATATCTGCATGGCCTCGGATAATTGAAGAATACCATGATAAGCTTGCGCAGATTTTGAGTCTTATAGTTATGAGTCAGCAGATGGACATCAGCCAAAGATTGGCGCACAAAGATCCTCCAGTTTGGAGACAGCAAGCCTAGGGTGAGGCAAGAAACAACAACATAGCTAGTTCATGCGAAATATCAGCTGACGAAGATAATTGCAGTCAAATCATGCGCTCACCTTGCGAAGTAAAACACATAGGTTTTTATCAACACCGTGAACCAGACCCCGATGGCCGATCCTGTCCATTGTCGTTGCAATTCATGGAAGGCAATCCGGATCGCAAGACATAGTGTGAATATTTCCCATATAGTGTCAAGTATCCAACTATCGGGTATCATGGTTGTTTTACCTCTCCAAATACAATGATGGGTGCCGGAGAGGACGACATCGACCTACTTACCCCTCGTTCAAATGTCAGTGCTGGAGACAATGATTGGGATGTCATGTATTCCTTCGATAAGGACTATCTTGCTCACCCCAGTCGTATACCACTGCAGTCAAGGATGCAACTGTGGTCGATGATAAAAATGAGACATTACCAACATCAATATGCTCTCCACGGACCTGCTAAATAGCTGGAAACATGACTTCCACTGATCAGCGCCCACACACCTGGATCGTTTGATATCAGTGTCATATATAAGGGTTTTGTGTGGCAGTGAACGGCAAACTTGGTGGAGGCACAACGAGGGCCTCTGCTAGATATACCACAATCCGGCGCTTTTACCACTAAAATTTATACGCAGATGTGAGACAGACGGGTATCCGTTCCTAGTGGCTCTGATCGATTGTATGTATTTCTGTAAGTATGACATAAAGTAGAACGGGGAGTCACCTCATGGTACTTGGTTGAATCAAACTTTGTAGGTTGTGGTTCTGCACAGCAACGATACACGCCCTGGACCATCTTAAAACGGATTTCAAGCACTTGTTTTCAGCACCAAATTTCTAGAAAAGGCTACCGGAACGTGATGAGCCAGATGACAATGACGAGGTCGCGATGCTACCCTGAGAGCGCCTTGGATGAACAAGTTCCTTCATTGCCTTGTATGACGTTGATGAGGCTTACGAGAGGTCTCTCGACCCAGGTTCACCTGCTCATATTTGTAATACTTTGATGCTGGCTCGCTGATGCAATAGCGAATCTTTGTAAAGAGAGAAGCCCGGAAACCTGCAGTCGAAGTAAGCTCGTGTGGACGAGAAGGAGTGGGCGATACAGCCAAGAGTCCAAGACACCCCAGGTCAGTGATGCACTGCCACCGTAGCATCATCACCTTAGTCACTACTAGTAACTAGGCGTTGCTGTTAGATAGTCCCTCACCATGATTTATTGATAGCTTGATCGTCTCGTACCTGTGAACCACTGACTTGCAATGCACTACCAGCGTTTGATCCTTTCAAGCCTTTGTTCCCCTAGTATTAGCAAGATTTGTATAAACGAGTGGTGCCTCCAGGGCGAATCGATAACCCCGTGTGAGTGACGAAAGGTCTTTCAATTCTACATAGTACCTGGAAACAGAAAGACCATTCGTCACACACACACATTTGACAGTTCGATTATGTCGCCAGATCTCTACCGATACTCCAAGTAGAAAGACACTATAAAGTTTTTCAGCGCTTAGATCTATCTGTCGCAGAAAAGATGTTCCACGTACACGATCGTCACTGTCATTTCCTTTTCCTAGCTTCGGTCAAGTACTTGTGATTCTCAGTTTGGGCGACGATTTGAACTCGCCATCACCAGCTGGTCCAGTAGCTCCAGCCGCTGCGTTATCTGGAGCAACACGTGGTGACCCGAACGTTTATGGGAAGAGCCTGTCAAAATTCACCGATGGAATGAGTTGTTGAGCCCTTTGTGTAGAAACATCAATAGACTCCTCGAGTTCGAGACCAAATCCTAACGCACGCCGCCGATTTGAAAGTGAGTTCTTCGCAGACATGACGGTGTGTGAAAATTAAATATTGTGTGAAGCTGGTTACACCGCCACGGTCCATCCTCACCCAGCCCTTTCGGTGTTCGCGCTTCTTGGTCACTACCCAACCGCAGCTTTCATGACAGAGCGCGCCGATACCCTCCATGCATCAAGAGCAGACGTCTGGTACCTCAAGGAAATCGCGTTTGGAAGCACGGAAACAAAGCGAAGATTAAAGATCATAACGCAGAATTTCAATGGGTGTGTCTTGTAATATTGTGGTGCTGCGGCATGTGCCTTAGGCTCCGTATACTTATTGCACCGTACCATATTAATTATTGCTCGACAGACCGTGTTCGTTCATTGCTATTTGTGAGTGCTGCTGCTGCTCTGACGGAGGATCGACGCTGAGGTAGCGCGTTGTGATGTGCAGGCAATATCCTGATACTGCGAGGACAGATTGAGGTCCTGCCATATGAGCGGGGAACGGTGTCATACGAGTTTCTTGCGCAGCTCGTAGGAGAGTATCTCCTTATGAGCTGTCCGGATATTGATGTCACTGCTGCACTCTCGATCATGCCCAGCACCACCAGTGTGTACAACTTCTTTCTAACTAGTAATTAGTGAAGCTAATATGGTGTCAGAGGGCCTCGATCTCAACCCTGTCTTCACAGGCACTACGTCATTTCGACCTGCAGGGGAAGGTGGGGAATTGAAGTTGTTCGAGCAGGCAGGGATAGAGCTCGTGCATGGGTGGCTTGTTGACCCTGACAGCGAGGAGTACAGGGTGTTGCAGCATGTGCGTGATTATGACACTACTGTAACGCTTATTGCGGATGCGGATCATATCACGAGGGGACGACTGTTGAGTGGAGATGTGTGGGGCGAAGGAGAGGCAGGGAGTAGTCAAGCGGGGAGCGGGCCGAGTGGCTATGCGGGCCCGAGTGCTGCTAGCGATAATTATTCGGAGAAAGATAGAGAGAAGATCGAACATGGTATGATTTAATCTGTTATGCGAGATTTATTGCTTATGAGTTTTTAGCGCTAGTGGCACAGGCGTTCTTGGATAATACCAGGTCTCAATTGACGTATCATGGGCTGTTTCAGCTTGCGTCTACGTTACAGCCTGGGTCGCTTGTTGCGCTGTTCCGAAATTCGCACCTTTCTGTGCTGCATAAACGAGAGGGAGAGGACTCGTCACTTTACAGTTTGGTTACGGATCATGTGTTCCTACAAGAGCCGTCGGTGGTATGGGAGCGTTTAGAAGATGTCGATGGGGTTGGGTCGACGTTTGTGGACTCGGAATTTTTTCGTTCGACGCCTGTGGGAGGCGATTTTGCTGGACACACGGCGGAAAGCGCATTGCATGCTCTAGAGATGGAAGGAAACCCAGAGTAAGATCTACGTGATTTTTTCCAAGATGCATTACTAAGATGCGAGTTATACAGTGTGATATTAGCACGGCAACTACAAGCGGAAGAAGACGCGCGATCGCATGAGATATATAAGCGGAGGCAGCAGCAGGAGATTCGACGGAAGGAAGAGGAGGAACGGAAACGGAAGAACGAGGATAGTGCTAGTAGGAAAAGTAAGAAGATGAAAGACAAGTGTATTATAATGTAGAATGCTATACCGAATAATTTGGACTATCATTATATGTAGTATGTACTGCCATGTCATATCACAGATCCGGCGTGTGAGTGAAATACGATTGTAACCAATAGATTGAATTATAATCAGTGATGCAGGGATACTCGATATCAAAATCATGATGTGGAATGGGAAACAATGCCACAAGAACAACAATCACAAACAAGGGACGGTCTCAGTCATCGTCCGCCTGTGCAATGCAACCACAAGCCCCATCCACTCATCCTTACATTCCTTCCTTTCTTTCCTTCGAGCTCATCGCCGAGCACAGCAAGCACGAACAAAGTATTCATCACTTGTTCCGATTAATCACTTTCAACAGCATTCACGACAACACTCGTCGTCATCGACTCGCACGTCATGCGTGAATCAAATCATGCTTTTCCCGCACAGAATAGAGCTTGCGTTTGCATCACCTCGCAATGTTACGATAGACGAGGTTGGTTTATTTAAATTATATGTGATTTTAATTACAAGTTTATTTCAGGTCTCGATACATCTTCGCCACTCCCGCTATTCACCTCCTTACACCATCTCACATATCTAACCTCAACTTCAGCCCGAATACGCGAGATCATGACAATGGACGGCGCAATCGAACGTCTTATGCGCATTCTCTATGACTACTGCTTATGTCCTCCTCCTCCAGAGAACCCTGGTTACATCTATGGTCTTTCTCCTCCAACCTCGCGCCCCCAAAAGCTTGTCCCAACAATCAATCCTGCAAGTTACGATAAGCACGCCGCCTATCGATTTAGCTTGGCCCTCCAGAGTATCGTTAATATCGGTATAAGAGGCAGCGAGCCAATCCGGAGTCGCATCGTCCAGGCTGGCGCCCTCGAAGTAGTCGGTTGTATCCTCGAGTCATGGTTAGCTCATAAAGGGTTTGCCATCGGGCCCAGTTCAAGCGCATCTGGTTTACCTCGCGAGTCTCGCGAGCATCGCCTCGCCCGTCGGGCCGCACTTCAGGAACAAAGACAGCGAGAGGAAGCTACCCAGCTCCATCGCGCACTACAACGTCAAATCGCCGCCGATGCGGCTAACCGCACAGAATTCATGACATCCCGTATCGATCCAATCCAAGATGTCCGTCTTTGTGTTGCGTGTCATCTCCTTACTGATCCCTCTTCAGGATGCAATAATGGCCGATATCGGCACCGAACCTTCCTATTCGAATGTTTCTGTGCATCTGGACCAGACACCTGCCCCTGTCCAAGTGCAAGTAGCTGCGCGCGAACGACCTTATTACACCCGCCACTCCTCATCCTCATCTCATGAGGCAGATACTTCTGCCGAAACATCTATTAATCCCACACCTCAAGGTACAGAGACACCCACTGTAACTGTCTTAGTCAATGCTCGTGAGCGCAGTGGTACCATAATTGCTCGCCGTGCTTGGGATGATGCTGTAATCGCACCTACCACAATACGTGCAAGGGCTCATCGCATCCGCCCCACTACCGCATCACCTGATGAATCGACCGACAACTCAAGACCTGAGACAGAAACTGAGGATGATGGTGACGCAGACGTCGATATGTCGCAGGACACTGATGATAGTGCAGCTCCCCCTGTCTCGGCACCCCGTGTACGCCAGCCTTCACGATCGATGACTCTTACTCAGCGTCCACGCCGCGCTGTGGGCATAGTTTCAGACACAGTCCCAGGACCTGCACCTCTCCAAGTGAATACGGACGCGCATATTATCATTCACCATGGGCAGGGTGGAGATGGAATGGCAGTGGGTGTGGGTGTGGAGGACGGTATTGTATCATTGGAGCCGAATGATGATTTTGCTATGGGTGCACCTCCTGGTGCACCAGGAGCCATGGATGAGACGATCCCTGCGCGAGGTCTTCGTGGAGTTGATATCCCTTTGGCTGATCGGAGAGTTCGCACTGCCCCAGATGCAACGCCCCGTGCCACGGCTGTTCCCCTCCCCTCAGCCCCTGTTCTGCCAAATGCCCCGCATAGCGAGGAACCTGCCCGCGAGGGCGCAGCTGCAAATCGTGGCGAACACCCTACCCCGACTGCCACCATGCACACAGTGCGCACCTCGAGCCATCACCACCATCGCGATCCCGACCAAGGTCCATTCAGGGACGAAGACGTGCTTTTTAGTCTCCAGCTCCTCGCTTATCTCAGCAAGTATCCGCATGTGCGGCAGGCATTTTATAAGCAACGCCCATCATTCCACCCTGCGGCTGCTAATCTCAGTCCTCGTCCTCAACAGCAACCTGTTGCTGGACCCAGTGGGACACGGAACATTCCCGCTCCTGTCCCTGTCCCTCCACCTACACCACCAGCGAAAGAACAATATGGGTTCTTCCGCGCACTCGCATCTGCGACTGCACGGGGCAAGGAGAAGGAGAAAGTGCCACTTACTACCCCGGTACAACCCCACCGTATGACGAATGTATTTTCTCTCGTAGAGCGGTTTACTTTCCGCCCCAGTATGACGGAGAGCGAGCTGCCCAACCCGCCACCAAAGCTTCCTCCGGAAATATCCTACTGGGCGGGCGTGATCATGCGAAATGCGTGTCGGAAGGACGATAGTCGGGGCGGAATCCGGCAATGTGCGAATAGTGAGTTGTTTTTTTCCTACCAGTGAATCGATGTTGAGTGAGTATAGTGCTGTGTGGACGCTGGGAGACCTATCCACGAGAGTTTGCGAAATGCAGACGATGCCGAAAAGCGAAATATTGTGGCAAGGAGTGTCAGAGCACGGCATGGAGCGAAGGTCACCGGTTCTGGTGTAGTGTGAAGGAGGGAGATGAAGCTGAAGAGCCTACGGAGCATCAACACGGTACGGACCATGGTCATGGGGAGGGTGATGTCGAGACGCCTGCGTCTGTTGCTGCTGCTGAAGCTGCCCAGGCCCGCGCGGAGAGAAGAGCAGAGAGGGAACGACAATTACGGGAGCGGGAACGGGAACGGATGGGAGGCACGATTGCTGCTAATCACATCGTTCAGCAACACATGTTGCACCCACCTGTGAATCCTCCACCTGTTGCGGCCCAATTGACTGTCCGAGCTCGCGGTGCTGTTCTTCCTCCCACCAATCAACCTCAGCCTGTCATTCCTCAACCACGACGAGGAAGTCCATCGGGATCTGGATTTGGAATGATACAAAGTCGAAGGAGGGCCGAGACTGTCTCTGGAGTTGTGGATACGGGCGCGATTAGGGAGACCAGGATGATGCTTGTGCATAATGGGTGGCAGCCGCCCACGAGGAGACGTGGTGAGGAAGTCCGGCAGGATGGGAGGCGTGGGCAGGAGACGTGGGATTTGACACCTCCGGGTGGTGATGATATGGTTCTGGGGTGAAAGACACGATGCACGGCTCACAGACGCTTACACGTGTGCATTTACGTGTCTCACTGCCTACACAAGCGCGCTACCCCCCTTCCTACGCATGCGCACCCCACAACGCGCAACCCTGCCTACAACGCGTATTACCTCTTAAATAACAGCCTGTCTCTCTTTTTGTCTTTCATTAGTGCATACATATATACATAGTACATACATACCTGCATCACGAGCACTACCCACGTACGACTCTTTAGTGATTGTCACGATCAATGTTTAACAAGGTACTACTACTATCATTTGAATCTACTATTATATTCTTTTTTGCTTGGCATCACATCGTAGAGTTAGATCTCATCACTAGTAGACTTTGTTGGCCATAGGAGAAAGTTTTTGTTTGTGTTAAATTTTCACGAGGGAGACTGGAGAAAATTTTGTTTCTGGTGTTTTCGGTGATGTTCCAAGACGCGTCGCGTCCGACATGAGACCACGTGGGTGGTGAGAAGATGTTTGCCTGGAACAAATAAAACGGCCTAAAACTCGGTAAAGTTCTACGTGCACAACTTTTTCTTCAGCTTTGCCCACCCGCTTCGTCTCCAGCTTTCTATTTAAACCATGGTAAGGAGATTTAATACGAGTCTATGGAGGTGCTGACGGTCGATGTGTTCCAGGCTGCCCAGGCAACATTCAAAAGCATCAGGGCTGTTGTTCCTCTGCTCGACCGTGTGTTAGTCCAGCGATTCAAGCCTGAAACTGTGCGCATCGAAAAGTTATGACGTGTTTATACATAATGCTAAAGTGGAGCAGAAAACAGCCTCTGGGATATTCCTACCCTCCTCATCGACCACTACGCCCTTACCCGAAGCAACTGTGATTGCCGTTGGCCCTGGAGCGCCTAACAAAGATGGAAATGTAGTTCCTACTCAGGTAAAGGCTGGGGACCGGGTGTTGCTTCCTGGTTGGGGAGGGAATTCGATTAAAGTAGGGGATGAGGTCAGTTTTTACTCTGGTTGATTGGTGATATTTTTGCTGATTGATTGTGTTTTTGCAGGAATACTATTTGTTCAAGGATGCAGAGATCCTTGCAAAGATCCAGGAGTGATTAGTTGGACGGCACCGCTATGAGTCCAAGTACCGCAGCATTATATACGCTAATCCTTTTTATATGTGATCTTACGCACTATCGCAATATATCTGCACGTATCCCCGCTCAAACTTAGTTCCGAGGCTATTGTGAAATGCGGCAGAGGTGAGTTCTCGGTAATGGATGTGATAGGTGGGGTTTGGGGACTTTACCTAGGGACGGTGGCACACATGTTGGTTCCTTGACTCGTGTCCTGCCATGCTTGATTTATATGATGAAAGAGGTTCGGGCACACTGTCGGCCTTCGAAACACATGTGCAGCATGACTGACTCGGAAGCGTGATGTGGTACTAACGTAGAGGGGCCTTAGTGATACGGCCGGCCGTGCTAATAGATGATTGCTGCTCCCATGGCCTTTTTAGGGTATTGCGGTGTAGCACTAGACTGTAGCCCTGGAGTTGAGACCGGAATAACTCTGATGATTAATGTTGCGTAATGGTTTTTAGTAGTAAAATGCGTTCGTGCCGGACGCCTGCATGCCCAAATCAAGGTTTCACTTAACCTTTGCGATAAACATGCTTAGTAGTACCGTCGCTTTGCTGTGGTGCCGACGTTCTATAAAACTCAGATGTCACTAATGGGATCGCCACGCTAGGTTCTTGCATTCCCGTCCCTCCCTGCACCGTCCAATTCAACAGGGTATCACGAAAAGTAATGTCCAAGGAATTAGACCTAGCTAGCCCTTCTGGCAAGGAACTCAGTCGTTCGATGAGTAACATCGAGACGGCAAAGGACAATGAGGTCCAGCGCAGTCGTTTGCGCTCCATTTTTATAGTCATCACTTGTACCGCTGCAATGGTTGTTAATGTGAGTGTCCTTCATACCTTTCCTCGCTGGTCCTTTGTGACATCTTTAACCCCAGATATCTAATACTACCTCTGTCTCTATTTCACTCCCAACCATTGAGAAGGGGCTAGCTATTGAGGAAGAGCAGCTCCAGTGGCTCGTATCTGCATATTCTCTCAGTTCTGTACGTTTCGCTTCTATTTTTGCACATCTTGACATGGTGGCTCACCTCGTGTTAGGGTTGCCTGCTCCTGTTCTTCGGCCGATTGGCGGATCTTTATGGACGAAAAAAGGCATTTATGCTTGGGACTCTTTGTCAAATTGCCTTTTCTCTCGGTTGTGGCTTTGCACAAGGTTGGCGTACCCTCCAATCGTTCGCGTGTTCCGTCTACTCACAATGTAATCACAGATGGTCTCACTCTCGCCGTGTTGCGTGGCTTCCAAGGTATTGGAGGCTCCGCTACAATACCTTCCGCAGTAAGTACTCCCGAGATGTTTTCGATGCAAAAGTACTCACTTTCTCAGCTCGGTATCTTAGCGCATGCATTCCCACCGTCAAGAGCACGTTCAATAGCATTCGCTACCTTTGCAGCGGGTGCTCCTGTGGGCGGCGCATTTGGAATGATCATCGGCGGTGTTCTGACTCAACTTACCTCGTGGGTCATAATTGCTGATCGACGCATGCTATATTTCTCACGATGCCGTGCAGGTCACATTGGCGCTCTGTATTTTACATGGCCGCTGCAACTTCAGCTGTAATTGGAATTTCTGGCATGATTTCGTTCGATGCCGACGTTCCCTCAGCGGAAGCTGTCAAACGTGTCGACTGGATCGGCGCTTCCCTTGTCACTGTTGGATTGATTCTGATTGTATTCGTACTTGCTCAAGGAGAAATTGCTACGGATGGCTGGAAAACCCCGTGTAAGAATGTCGCCAAACGATAGTGGTCATGTGCTAAAACCATCAACAGATATCCTCGTGCTCCTTATTATCGGCGTCATCTTACTTGCCCTATTCCTGGTGTGGGAGTGGAAGCTGGAGCAAATCATCGACGATGATCCATCAAGAGCGACATCTTTCTGGACACCGCCACCGCTTATGAGACTCTCGCTCTGGACTAGGGCAAAGGGACGCATGGCCGTTGTCCTTGTAATAGCATTCCTAAATTGGAGTGCTTTCATTAGCTGGAGCTTCTGGGTTCAGGTATGTTCCGGTTCCGGTTCCGCTACCCGGAGGGAATGACATCGCTGACTTCGTTTTCTAGTTGTATTATCAGAACTACTTGTTATTGACGCCGGTCGAGACCATGATCCGATTCATTCCCATGTTCATTGTCGGCTGCCTATGTAACTTCTTCGTGGCGATGGTTGTTGCCAAATTGCCCTTGGTTATCTTTGTAGGCAAGTGTCTATATGTGGAATATTAAGATGTCAAGCTGACTTGTGGTCCAGTCAGCGGAACACTCCTGACAGCAACGGCCGCCATCCTATTTGCCCTAATTGACCCGTCTGTAACATACTGGGCCTTCGGTTTCCCATCCACGGTTCTTATCGTGTTCGGCGCTGATTTCGTATACTCCTCCGGCACAATTTTCATTGCCAAAACCTCGCTCCCACATGAACACAGCGTGGCTGGAGCGCTATTCCAAACTATGACACAGGCAAGTCCCGTGAAACAACTAACGCTGTCCTATGCTAAACTAACACGTTTTTGGTTAGATCGGCACTGCATTCGGTCTAGCTATATCCACAATTGTGTTCAACACTGTAGTTGATACGGAATCTGCGAAGCTCGGTGTCATTGTAAACTCTAGCGTCACCAATGCGCCCATGTCCGCGCAACTCACGGGGTATCAGGATGCGCAATGGACCGCTGCTGCGTTTGCCCTTATGGGTGAGTACTGCAAATTTGTGTTGCGTTGAAAGCGGATCATTGACGGTTACTGTGAGTATAGCCGCGCTGCTGGCAGCGCTTTTCCTCCGGAGTGTTGGTATCGTCGGACACAACAGGGTCATTAGGCATGTTGATTCTGATCAGACCATGGCTGCCCATGCAGCGGCCGACGACACTGGGATACCCGCTATGTCCAACTAAGCAAGACATCGATGTTCAAACGGACGTTACTTATGCTGCATCACGAACTCGTATATGCCCCCCATTTGCATTTATTCAATCGCACTTCACGTTCCAGAATCCACAGGAACCCACCAATCCAAATTCAACATTTTACCGTTAATCGTACCCACGCGTGCCGTGGTTCTGCATTGCATGTTTTCGTTACTGTCGTACGCCCGCAGAAACCCGAAATCCAAATTCAACATTTATTATTGGCCAATCGTCCCCCTATGTAATCAGTAGTTCCTGTACCCACGCACGCCATCATTTCAACACCCTGGCATTGCAATGTTTTCATTTCTGTCGTTTCTTCTGCTCATAGAGCATTACCGTTTGGACTTTACGCGGCATGTTGTGGTAGTAGTACTGTAGCGATGTCGCGCTGGTCAAGTAACTTATACATCTTGTATATAATTATCGTGATTTGGGTCTCCGAGAGATCGAACATTGAAACGTTGAAAGTATGAGGAGGAATGGTTGTTAGGTCTAGTATGGTATGGGAGACAACTTAATGATCGTGCACTGTCGTGGGTTTTTTTCTTGTATAGTTTGATTTTGGCCTGAAGGCTAAGTTAAGGCTTATAAGCACTCGAGCAATTGACTCGGAGGCCCATCGAGACCATTAATGCTTCTGAAGTTCTTTCCATGATTAATCGCACGATACGTGATCATGGAATGCATTCAAAATTCTAATTTCTCACCACAGCAAGACCATCAATTTACGGGTGATTAATTCCTCAAGTGAATGTCTTCCTGGTACTCGAGACTTCTGGGAGGTCCGTGCGGCGTGGATAGCGTAGCCTAGCCTAGGGCAAATGCGGAATTTGTCTTGTGGCAATTGGCAAAATGGCAAAAGTTAGAACGGCAATCCGGCTTAAAGTATCGAGGTTGCGAGCAAAAAACTCCTTTTGACTATATTTTTACTATGACAAAAATATTTCTAGCTGCTGGCATGTGCTTTCCGACCCTCGATCAAGTACGTCAACCTCTTCAATATCGAGTCAAGCTAGTTGATATGATACCGTCGTCAGGACATGCATAACGATTCGCTTAGATCTGAGGGGTGTCCCCGGGAGTGGGTGAAGGATATCTTAAACTGTTGACGAGGTTTGACTACAATTCTCAATTTTTTTAATAATACAAAGTGACTTCTACTGTACAGTGCACCATCTTACTTTAGGGACGTCGACTTTCACTCCCCTCGCATGAGTTGTGCCGTCGGCCAGGCACAACTAGTTTTTCCAGACCGGTGGGCAAAACTCCCGAGTTCTGCCAACAATACTACCAGCACATAGGAAAACTTCACTTTAGTTATATATTCGGTTGCGGCCTATTCATGATGAATATTGTATTATTCTTCCTCGAGCCTTGTACTCTCAAGTTTCCAGGAAACGCGAGAAGTAATGTCCAAGGACCTTACTCGTTCACCAACCCATCAAGATCTCAACCTCGAGAAGGCCAAGCACTATCATGATGATTCAGAAGTGCAACGCAGTCTTTTGCGCTCTATTTTCATCATTGTGACCTGCACTGCTGCAATGGTGGTCAATGTATGCCCTCATCGTAATCATATTCTGCGACATTTTTTTATGACGGCTTGCCATTCGTTATTAATCACAGACCGCTAATACCAGTATTGTCTCTATCTCGCTGCCAACTATCGAAAGGGACCTGGATATCAAGGAAGAACAGCTGCAGTGGCTCGTATCTGCCTATTCGCTCAGCTCGGTGCGTCATCGTTTCTCTTCATCTTTCTGTGTCCCGGCTTACTTCCCACTTAGGGCTGCCTTCTCTTGTTCTTTGGCAGATTGGCGGATATCTATGGTCGGAAAAAGGCCTTCATGATCGGTACTCTCTGTCAAGTCGCATTTTCTCTTGGTGCCGGCTTTGCACAGAGTGAGTGCCACTTATCTGTCGGTCAGTTCTATCCATTTACATTGTCATCACAGGTGGTATTACCCTCGTCATTTTGCGTGCCTTCCAAGGCCTTGGTGCCGCCGCTACCATACCGTCTGCAGTGAGTATTTTGTATACTTTGAACTAGAATTCTCATGCAGTTTGTCAGCTCGGTATCCTGGCGCACGCATTCCCGCCGTCTAAAATGCGTTCAACAGCTTTCGCAACATTTGCGGCGGGTGCTCCTGTCGGCGGCGCGTTTGGCATGATCATCGGTGGTGTCCTCACACAAGTATCCTCGTACGTCATAAGCTGTTCATGCAACGCTAAATTTTTGATGTCCTCATAAAGGACGCACTGGCGCTCCCCATTCTATTTGGTTGCAGTAATGTCTGCTCTAACGGGTATTTCCGGTATGATTTCATTCGACACAGATGTGACTTCGACGGAAGCTGTCGACTGGATCGGCGCTTCCCTCGTCACCGTTGGTTTGGTCCTGATTGTATTTGTACTTGGTCAAGGAGAAGTTGCTTCTCAAGGCTGGAAAACTCCATGTAAGACTTCTTCTGTGTCACGTATTGCTAAATTTCATAATGATTGCCAGATATTATTATCCTTCTAATCGTCGGGATTATCATGGTTTCGCTGTTCCTGCTTTGGGAGCGATACCTGGAGCAAGTTATAGAAGATCCATCAAGAGCACCGTCCGCATGGACGCCACCGCCACTGATGAGGCTCTCGCTTTGGACGCGAGCAAAGGGCCGGATGGCTGTTATTCTCGCCATTGCATTCCTGAATTCCTGCACTTTCGTTAGCTGGGGCTTCTGGGTTCAGGTACGTCGATGCCGCTGCTCGGAGGAACGAGGACGCTGACTACGCTCCGTTCAAGTTGTACTATCAGAACTACCTTTTGCTCACACCTATGCAAACTATGCTCCGGTTCATTCCAATGTTCATTGTTGGCTGTTTATGCAATGTTTTGGTTGCAATGTTTGTTGGTAAATTGCCTTTGGTTATCTTTGCAGGTATGGCTCTGTGCGGGGAATATTATAACACGTGAGGCTGACTTATTTTGTCATCCAGTCAGCGGAACGCTACTGACGGCATCTGCCGCCATCCTGTTTGCGTTGATTGACCCGACCGTAACGTATTGGGCATTTGCCTTCCCGGCCACGGTTCTTGTCGTGTTCGGCGCTGATTTTATGTACTCCGCTGGTACAATTTTCGTCGCCAAGATCGCGCTCCCACACGAGCGCAGCGTGGCTGGAGCTCTCTTTCAAACTATGACACAGGCAAGTAGCGTTAAACCAACTGATACTGTCCTGTTCTAAAGTCAATTTCTTTGGGATAGCTCGGCACTGCGGTCGGACTTGCTTTATCTACGCTTGTGTTCAATATCGTGGTTGACAACGAGTCTGCTGACGTTGGCATTACTGTCAACTCTGCTGGCACCAACGCGCCCCATTTTGCCCAGCTTAAGGGTTATAGATCTGCGCAATGGACCTGCGCTTCATTTGCGCTTATGGGTGAGTACTGCGAATTCGGCCTGCTTTGAGAGTGCCTTGTTGATGATTTGTATTGAATAGCTGCGCTGCTGGCAGCGCTTTTCCTTCACGGTGCTGGGATTGTTGGAGACAAGAAAACTATCAGGCATGTTGACAGTGATGAGACAATAGCCGTGCGGTATGAGTCCAAGGAGGGCTAGATACGCCCATTTTTATAAATATCTAACAACGGACACATGGTCACGCCCCCTCCATTCTCTACTACATCGTACCCTCGTTTCAGAAGCTCCATACTACCTACATTCCTTTCTGGTGTTACATTTTTCTGTCCTTTCCGTATAGCGTTACCCCTGTTTCCCTTGATCTTGAATGCTCCGTACTACACTCCTTTCTAGCCTTGAATTTTTCTGTCCTTACCCATAGAACGGTATCGCTGTTTCTCTCAATCTTGCATGGCACACATAATTTCAAGTCCCGCGGCTTCTTGTGGTGATGTAGCTGAGTCAAGGCTGTCGTCTGCTTAATTGTTGTGCCGAAAGGCAGCGACACTGAAAGCCTGTGTTTCAGTATCGTGGACGGAGATTGTGGGAACTCTAGTAAGCCAGCGTGCAGTGTGCTTACAGATGATGATCAACTCGTTCAACGTGCAGTAATTGCATCCTAATTCTTTCCCCCCCCACCATTCACTCCATAACAACTTGACAAGGCATCAATGGACAAGTGTCTCCCGGTCCGTTCCATCGCACGTAGAATGGAATTCAGCACTCGTGCCTTGTTTTGATTTCATGCGGATAAATGTGCCCACTGAATTTTTGAGTCATGCACCACTCGAGTGAGTTGCAACGTTTCGTGTGAGATTCCCTACATACCCTGGACTGATATTTTTTTTGGACACCAGGTGTACTATAATAGCTTTGGGATGTCGAGTGTACATGGCGAGCCGGGTCTGGACTCAGGACGGAAATCAGGCACGTCAAAAGCCTATCTATAGCCTGGCGGTGACTATGTAGTGACCCACGACTCAGGCTTCCGACTGTGGGACTCTGTGGGATCGTCGACGTCGAATAGTCCCAATTCGAATATGTAGCGCGCTGTTTCAAGTTTATTCAGTAGATTGCCTATGAAACATGTTTCCTGGCATGCGAACCTCTTTTGGTTTTATAGTGCCCAGGACAATCGTGGCGCAGGCTGGTGGTGAGTCATATGATCAGGGACATGCTTATGCATCACTGAATCCCGGGCCTGATGCGACCATGGATCATATTTCCCGACTCCCGCCGAGCCTGTGACTCAGGCTCGCTGGGATCATATTCATTTCGACCGGAGCACACATATCACAGAAGTTCACGCCCCTGGTCGAGAATACTTCGACCAATCTCAGCGAACAATAAACATCAGGACGGTATCGCAAGTCAAAAAGGTACGTGTAATAAAATTCGTCATCACTCAACAGGGGTCGACCTTTACAATGAATACTACGGTTGCCTAATTTGGATGACCTTATTGTCAAGCCCCTTCCTCCTACCCATCGGAATCGTCGCACGATATAGTAATATCTCATATGTATTCGCTATTGCTTGCAAGCCTATTGTCTACCTCAATGGAATCTCCAATGGCGGCGGCGGACGTGGCGAGTCTCATTCGGACAATGATATATTGAGATTTTGGTGACAATTAGGACGGAACATACGGGATTTTGCAAAGTTCTCTCAATGGTGAAGTAGAAAGGTATATAAGTGCTTTGAAAATGCGATGTCCATCAGTTCAACCAACATTCAGTGGTCGTTCACCAGCAGTTCAATCAACTGCCATCTCTCATACAACACCTTCGGCTACTCGTAAAAGTCACACCCTAGTCTTTTCCATATCCCAAAGAACAATGGACTCATTCTCAAACATCCTCGCTATGCTGTCCGCTTCAAAGGCTGACGATGAGAGTCCTGCATCGTCGACACCAGTTGAGGAAGAGTCGTCATCAAGCTCCGGGGGTTGTTACTGTGTCATTGCATGAACGCGATGCACACTGTCTCATTCATATACGAACGTAAGTGGAGACGGTTATTTAATTCGCGGAGCAATTGCTTACCGTGATTGGTTGCAGCTCCAGACACTGCTCCTTGTAATTGGGACAGTACCATATTCTGTAGTGTTAAGATATGGCAGGGTTTAATGAGCGACACCATATCACTTTACTTGCGACAATACATTTCGTTCAGCATGCTTCGTTCTTCGTTCACAAATTTTCAATCTTCGTACAACAATTTTTCGATCTTCGTTCACCATTTTGTTGTATTATTTCGTCGGGTTCTTCGGATCTAGGTATCTTGGATATAGGTACAGGAGATACTTTTGAGACTGTCGGATATTCTGGGCAACGCACATATATATTTATCTATGGCACCTGGAGAGAATGGACAATGCTTACCTAGTATGACCCACTACTTGTTAAACCTTTGCGCATGTATCAAGTTGACAATATCGCTCGAGGAAAATAAAAAGACAAAGACAACCATTTACAAGCATCCCATCCCTGTTGGCCATTGTTTTCGTATTCGTTCCTCATTGTGAAATTGAATTCGACGTACCAGACTTAAAGTGTTCAAGGGCATCGTGCAGGGTGAACGTCATGAGCGTAATGCTGCAGTCCGCAGACGTGTGTCACCAATTCGTCACGGTGGTGTAATTCAGCAGGCCGATGCTTCTTTTCAACAAATGCTGCGCAAGGCCTGATCGATCGATCATTTTGTATGAGCAATTACTAGGAGAACAATTGAAGGGAGCTGAACAATGCAGCCCGTTCCAACCCGTTACACTCGTCAATCCACATCACGCACCATTGTGGTGCATGTACGGTTAACTTTGTCATAAACTCCACCTCTCCTGCGTAGGACGATCTTCGAAGGATTCATCTTTATCCGAGCACACAGCGAACGCGTGTACAGTGTCAATTTGAATGCTCACAAATTTATCGTCTTGATCACTAACGGGAAATTCACCCCGGAGATACTATATACCTCTATACGTGGCGCGATGCAATATTGCACCGGAAAACCACTTCAGAAGCTGTGAGGAGCAATGTGGCGCGTGAACACCATGGGGTATTGATTTGTGTCGTTGATTGAATCTAAGTGAAAGAAGGGTTACCAACGTTCAACTTCAACTTGACGAAGGGCTTTGGTGAAAAAGGCTTTGAGTACGAGAAACGCGCTGCAGAAGTTTTTGGAACGCCGATGTGGTGCTTATTGGTAGGTTACGAAATACCATACGTTACAAGATTTCGACTACAAGGTGGGCAGATCGTATTCGCGTATCAAAGAGAGTTTGCAATAAGTGTGCAGAGGCCGTTCTGCTGGTATAAAACTAAAATCTAGTACTGTGGATTGATACAGAAAAGTGAACGCGAAGATACTTAACTAGTCACAAACTATGTACATCATGACGCTGGCAGATGATTAGAGACAACATCTTTAATAAAAAGAGGTGAACTGAATGTTATCTGGTGTCCTACTGGTGCTCTTGCCAGTCTTGCGTAGCAAATACTATTTGATTCATTTTCGACGCTTTGATGGGCTATGAGAGGTGTCCGATTCGAATGCGCTGCTGCTATTGATCAGAAACTCATCCGAAGTTCGCTTTGTGGATGTGCTAATAGCGACGTTAGACCTCGGAGAGGGGGAGGGTGGCCGAAGCTTCCGTTGTTGAGTGCCGGGAATTGGGACTGATGGCTGACAACCGTTCATTAGGCTGTGCGTTGAAGGTTCAAACTGTGGACGAGAGATAATTAAAAGAGGTTTCACAAATTAGAAAAGAAAGTCAAACCTGAAGCAAGGCAATAACCTTTGCAAGTTTCTGCCCCTCGGATAAAATATCAAGACAGGACCGCAGTCCCTTCAAACACCACTGCTGTTCGAGCCAGGAAAGGAGGTGACGATTCCAGAAAACTCGAAATATACGGTTTAGAGTGTCGTCCCATGGATTTGGAGCACGCGACAGGTGAACAACCCAGTTTTGAGATGCATACTTGAGAGCGTCGGAAGATGATTGACTTCTTTCCTGTGCCTCGTTTGCAAAAGCTATAAAGAGATTCATAGCACGGATGATCTCCCTGTCAGGAACTTCTGACAATGCAGAGGTGAAGTAATCCTGGGGTATCAACGCCAGGAATATCGGAAAAATCAAAAAATCCGGTAAGCTTTTGAGCTCCTGGACCACTTTGAAGGTTGGCAGTAAAGCTGATTCTGGGAAAATGATATAGTTGCTGATTGTTTCAAACGTACTCGAGAATTCTTCCATAGTCACCCATACGGACCCCGCAGGAGTGGATTGCCACTGTTGGCCATGGGGCGTCTCGAGCCAGTTTCGCCCGCCTAGCGTTTGAAACCAGTTTCGCCCGCCCGCCGGGGTCTGGAGCCAGTCTAGCCCTCTCTGGGTCTGGAGCCACTCGTACCCATTCTGGTTCTGGAGCCAGTCTCGGCCTCCCTCGGTCTGCAGCCAGTCTCGGCCTCCCTCGGTCTGCAGCCACTGGCGTCCTTCCTCGGTCTGCAGCTGCCACCGTCGTCCCTCACCAGTCTGCAGCCACTGTCGGCCTCCCTCGGTCTGCACCCACTGCCGTCCTTCCTCGGTCTGCAGCCACTGTCGTCCTTCCTCAGTCTCCAGCCACTGCCGTCCTCCCTCGGTCTCCAGCCACTGTCGTCCTCCCTCGGTCTGCAGCCACTGTCGTCCTTCCCCTGTTTCCAGCCACTGTCGTCCTTCCCCGGTCTGCAGTCGCCACTGTCGTCCTTCCTCGGTCTCCAGCCACTGCCGTCCTCCCTCGGTCTCCAGCCACTGCCGTCCTCCCTCGGTCTCCAGCCACTGTCGTCCTCCCTCGATCTCCAGCCACTCTTGACCTCTCTCGGTCTCCAGCCACTCTCGGCCACTCTCGGTCTCCAGCCATTCTTGTCCTTCTTCGATCTCCAGCCACTGCCGTCCTTCCTCGGTCTGCAGCCACTGCCGTCCTTCCCCTGTTTCCAGCCACTGTCGTCCTTCCCCGGTCTGCAGTCGCCACTGTCGTCCTTCCTCGGTCTGCAGCCACTCTCGGCCTCCCTCGATCTCCAGCCACTCTCGGCCTCCCTCAGTCTGCAGCCACTCTCGGCCTCCCTCGGTCTGCAGCCACTGTCGTCCTTCCTCGGTCTGCAGCCACTGCCATCCTTCCCCTGTTTCCAGCCACTGTCGTCCTTCCCCGGTCTGCAGTCGCCACTGTCGTCCTTCCTCGGTCTGCAGCCACTCTCGGCCACCCTCGATCTCCAGCCACTGTCGTCCTTCCTCGGTCTCCAGCCACTGCCGTCCTCCCTCGGTCTCCAGCCACTGCCGTCCTTCCTCGGTCTCCAGCCACTGTCGTCCTCCCTCGGTCTCCAGCCACTGTCGCCCTTCCTCGGTCTCCAGCCATTCTCGTCCTTCCTCGGTCTCCAACCACTCTCGCCCTCCCTCGGTCAGCAGCCATTCTCGTCCTTCCTCGGTCAGCAGCCACTCTCGTCCT